CATCTCCAAGCTACAGGAACTGCAAGCCCCCACATCAGAGTGAACCAACGGCCCGGACCCCACCATACTTCTTTCCCCATTGACTGTACTTCTTCATATTTTGACAATGCCAATGCACTGTCCTGACTGAGGACGAAAATGAAAATAATAAATTAGCTCTATAGAGGCGCTCGATTATCGATCGACACAGTTCACTGTGAATGCGTTTAGTGTTTCCACCAACCGATTGCGGGAATACATTCTAAGTAGAAGCATTGTTTCACTGTGAAGTTTTTTTTATTTCTTACGCCAGGAGTGGCGGTTTGCACCGCCGCAACGATTCTATACTTTTCTGCTTGCGTTTCATGTCATGACTGATTATTTGTACGAGTGTGCTTCATTAAAGTCCCTGATCGTAAGGTAAACTAAAATAGATTACATTAATGCGTGAAGTCTGTTCCTGATGGGAAGCATTCGAACGGAAGGGAGGAAATAACGACGAATTTAATTCAGAAAAAATCAGAGCATCATCCAGTCGATGTGTCTGTGAATGTTCGAGGGCTTCAGGGAATTGTTGTCTTCATGGGCCCGATTAGATCAGTATGACTCTCGAATCCATTAAGAATATTTGACGAAACATATAGAGTCTCTATATAGAGACCTGTTGTTCGGGAGGTCGCCTGGCAGGGATTCTGGCACAACTGCCAGACTCGGAAGACACTCGAATTCGAAGGAAGGGGAGAGAGGTGAGGTGAGGTTGAGGTTGGGGTTGATAGGAAAGACTTTGAAAAATGGTTTTCAAATTACTTTATTGCACCATTTAAATTGACCCAAGAACGTCGTATGCACAGGATTCTGCAATTTCGCAGAGGAAGCTGCAGATTCACACTCCAAGAGAATTTGAAGTCACGTTCACGATGTTGGGGATTATGGTTTCGAGATTGGTTTTTGTAATGGATCAATCAATCACTCCATGAAGTTCTGAAAATTTATTAAAGCATGCTTCCCAGTATAGACTCGTTAGGCTGTTCCTGCCGAATGCGCATTCGGTGTAAGTCTCTTTTGGGACTTTCGCGATGGAGAATGCTTTGGCGATTTTCATTTCCTCTTCTTTCCACGGAGTTTCTCGGTGTGAACTTTTTCCTTTTCCATTATAATTCGGTGGTCATCTTTTGTACCTAAGATGAAAAGTAGGCAAGTGGACCTGCTCTTTCCGACATACAGAAGTGCATTATCGTCTGAGAGTAAGTCGAACAGAATGATGATGCTCGCCTCCAAGCCTTTGAACCGACGAACCGAGTCCACAATGAGGACTTTCCTTTGAGGGGGATCTTCATCAGGCTGGTGAAATGACCCTTTATTCTCGTACTCCGCATTGTACATGGAATAAGACAATTTTCCATTTAGTGTCATATTCAACTGCTTGATAACTTGATCTCTGTGCGGAACGCTTTGTGTGAGGATGACAAACTCCTTATCACATCCTTCAGCTGCGCACTCATTGATGATGTCTAAAACATTCTCGGCACCCTGTCTCAAACGGTCGTGCTCTGGTTCAACTGGGAGGTAGGGCTCCTGCCACTTGACTGGATAACCATCGATTTTATGGCCCATGGTAACTTCGCTTCGAACATCCTCTTTCACATGAGCAAGGAAACATTCGCATATATGTCTGGGACTGCGAATGTTCGTTTTGAGCTTCTTCGACTGGGACAAGTAGTTCTTTTCTTTTGCCGTAAGATTTTGTCCACAATAAACCATCTGCTCTTCATCAAAGGTAAGGAAGAAGGTACCAGTTTCATCCCAAATCTTTTCCAGGTATTCTATCCAGGAGAAAAGCCGACGCGATCCTGATGTGTTGTATATGCAGAGATCGAGACCTTCGTCGACAAATATGTGGCGATAGGTGTCTTGGCATATCCCCTGCCTGGCTTCTATTTTAGCCTGCAGGTCTTCCTTTTTTCCGTCATCAGTCCAACTTCCCCCCGTCCATCCCATGAAAGCATCGAATGTTTGTACATTAATGTTTAGTTGATGAGTCCTCAGTACCATCTCATTCATTTTTTTTTCTGTGAGGTGCTTTATCTCGCACTCGAGGTACTTGATGAGAGCTCTGTTGAAACAGAGTACGAGCATCTTGCTCTCAGGATCATTTATGAGAATGTTGGAAGCGCTTTCAATCAAAAGCCACGTCTTCCCAGTCCCGGCCACACCTTTGAAGGTCATAATCCGTTTCCCTGATTCATATTTCACCCACTCCATGAGTGCCTTGAGATATGTTGGATTAAATCCGGGCTCCGGAATGTATTTTATTTGGTTGACGGCTACAGGGTTTGCAAGGGCATTGGAAACCATTGGCACCAGCCAGCCCAAATTCCGTCGGTAGCCTTCTCTCCTCAGACACCAGCCTCCTAGGATTCTGAAACGACAACATTATATTCTATGTCCTATGCATGCAACTGCCTTCAACAGGAACAAAATATTGGAATGGTGACAGTGACATACATTGATAGAATATTGAGATAAGTTTCATCGCTCCATAAGTTTCTGCGCTGGAGCTCCATATTCTCATCCAATATATGAGTTCTCCACCATGTCTTGAAGGCATTAGGGCTCTCACAGTCATCTCGACTGAGAGTTCCCTCATCTCTCCTGTATTCAAGAGAGCCTCCCAACGAGTGAAAGGGAACACAGACATACCCGCTCTTACCGCGTATTATTTCATCGACTTCAGAGAATTTTTTTGCATAAAAGTCTCGAATCATCTTCTCCCAAGCGGACACTTGCTTCAGCCCTTTTTTTATATTTTCACTCAAATTGTTTGGCTTCCCATCTTTTACTTGAAGGATCTTCAAGCCTGCACGACGGTGTGCGATGATCATGTCGCACTCCCCATCGTTTTTTAGGCCCTTGATGTTAGCCACAACAAACATGGGTTGTTTTTCTGTCTCATTTCGAGCCAAATGGTCAATTTTCTTCATCACCTCCCACTCAGCTCTAGTTCCGTCTTGTTCTTCTCTGTCCCGAAAAATTTCCGGTAGGAGATAATATCCCTTTTCCCAATTAGGGAATTGATCTTTGACGAAATCCTTTCCTCTTTCGATAGCATTCTCTTCATTCTCACCTATGGTAAGTCTTCCCATTGGCTCGACTAGCTCGTAGAAGCCACTATCGTNTCGAACGGAAGGGAGGAAATAACGACGAATTTAATTCAGAAAAAATCAGAGCATCATCCAGTCGATGTGTCTGTGAATGTTCGAGGGCTTCAGGGAATTGTTGTCTTCATGGGCCCGATTAGATCAGGATGACTCTCGAATCCATTCAGAATATTTGACGAAACTTATAGAGACCTGTTGTTCGGGAGGTCGCCTGGCAGGGATTCTGGCACAACTGCCAGACTCGGAAGACACTCGAATTCGAAGGAAGGGGAGAGAGGTGGGGTGAGGTTGAGGTTGGGGTTGATAGGAAAGACTTTGAAAAATGGTTTTCAAATTAATTTATTGCATCATTTAAATTAACCCAAGAACGTCGTATGCACAGGATTCTGCAATTTCGCAGAGGAAGCTGCAGATTCACACTCCAAGAGAATTTGAAGTCACGTTCACGATGTTGGGGATTATGGTTTGAGATTGGTTTTTGTAATGGATCATTCAATCATTCCATGAAGTTCTGAAAATTTATTAAAGCATGCTTCCCAGTATAGACTCGTTAGGCTGTTCCTGCCGAATGCGCATTCGGTGTAAGTCTCTTTTGGGACTTTCGCGATGGAGAATGCTTTGGCGATTTTCCTTTCCTCTTCTTTCCACGGAGTTTCTCGGTGTGAACTTTTTCCTTTTCCATTATAATTCGGTGGTCATCTTTTGTACCTAAGATGAAAAGTAGGCAAGTGGACCTGCTCTTTCCGACATACAGAAGTGCATCATCGTTTGGGAAAAAGTCGAACATAATGATGATGCTCGCCTCCAAGCCTTTGAACCGACGAACCGAGTCCACAATGAGGACTTTCCTTTGAGGGGGATCTTCATCAGGCTGGTCAAATGACCCTTTATTCTCGTACTCCGCATTGTACATGGAATAAGACAAGTTTCCATTTAGTGTCATATTCAACTGATTGATAACTTGCTCTGTGTGCTTTACGCTTCGTGTGAGGATGACAAACTTCTTATCATATCTTTCAGCTGCGCACTCTTTGATGATGTCTAAAACATTCTCGGCACCCTGTCTCAAACGGTCGTGCTCTGGTTCAACTGGGAGGTAGGGCTCCTGCCACTTGACTGGATAGCCATCGATTTTATGGCCCATGGTAACTTCGCTTCGAACATCCTCTTTCACATGAGCAAGGAAACATTCGCATATATGTCTGGGACTGCGAATGTTCGTTTTGAGCTTCTTCGACTGGGACAAGTAGTCCCTTTCTTTTTCCGTAAGATATTGTTCATAATAAACCTTCTGCTCTTCATCAAAGGTAAGGAAGAAGGTACCAGTTTTATCCCAAATCTTTTTCAGGTATTCTATCCAGGAGACAGGCCGACCCGATCCTGATGTGTTGTTGTATATGCAGAGATCGATACCTTCGTCGACAAATATGTGGCGATAGGTGTCTTGGCATATCCCCTGCCTGGCTTTTTTTATTTTAGCCTCCAGGTCTATCCTTTTGTTGCCATCGTTCCAAATTCCCCCCGTCCATCCCATGAAAGCATCGAATGTTTGTACGTTAATGTTTAGTGGACGAGTCCTCAGTTCCATCTCATTATTTTTCTTATCTGTGAGGTGCTTTATCTCGCACTCGAGGTACTTGATGAGAGCTCTGTTGAAACAGAGTACGAGCATCTTGCTCTCAGGATCATTTATGAGAATGTTGGAAGCGCTTTCAATCAAAAGCCACGTCTTCCCAGTCCCGGCCACACCTTTGAAGGTCATAATCCGTTTCCCTGATTCATATTTCACCCACTCCATGAGTGCCTTGAGATATGGTGGATTAAATCCGGGCTCCGGAATGTTCTCTATTTGGTTGACGGCTACAGGGTTTGCAAGGGCATTGGAAACCATTGGCACCAGCCAGCCCAAATTCCGTCGGTAGCCTTCTCTCCTCAGACACCAGCCTCCTAGGATTCTGAAACGACAACATTATATTCTATGTCCTATGCATGCAACTGCCTTCAACAGGAACAAAATATTGGAATGGTGACAGTGACATACATTGATAGAATATTGAGATAAGTATCTGGAGGCAGGAGCTCCATATTCTCATCCAATATATGAGTTCTCCACCATGTCTTGAAGGCATCAGGGCTCTCACAGTCATCTCGACTGAGAGTTCCCTCATTTCTTCGGAATTCACGAAAGCCTGTCAACGAGTGAAAGGGAACACAGACATACCCGCTCTTACCGCGTATTATTTCATCGACTGATGATTCAGGGAAGTTTTTTGCATAAAAGTCTCGAATCATCTTCTCCCAAGCGGTCACTTGCTTCAGCCCTTTTTTTATATTTTCACTCAAATTTTTTGGCTTCCCATCTTTTACTTGAAGGATCTTCACGCCTGCACGACGGTGTGCGATGATCATGTCGCACTCCCCATCGTTTTTTACGCCCTTGATGTTAGCCACAACAAACATTGGTTGTCTTTTTGTCTCATTTCGAGCCAAATGGTCAATTTTCTTCATCACCTCCCACTCAGCTCTAGTTCCGTCTTGTTCTTCTCTGTCCCGAAAAATTTCCGGTAGGACATAACATCCCTCTTCCCAATTAGGGAATTGATCTTTGACGAAATCCTTTCCTCTTTCGATAGCATTCTCTTCATTCTCANGTGTGCTTCATTAAAGTCCCTGATCGTAAGGTAAACTAAAATAGATTACATTAATCCGTGAAGTCTGTTCCTAATGGGAAGCATTCGAACGGAAGGGAGGAAATAACGACGAATTTAATTCAGAAAAAATCAGAGCATCATCCAGTCGATGTGTCTGTGAATGTTCGAGGGCTTCAGGGAATTGTTGTCTTCATGGGCCCGATTAGATCAGGATGACTCTCGAATCCATTCAGAATATTTGACGAAACTTATAGAGACCTGTTGTTCGGGAGGTCGCCTGGCAGGGATTCTGGCACAACTGCCAGACTCGGAAGACACTCGAATTCGAAGGAAGGGGAGAGAGGTGGGGTGAGGTTGAGGTTGGGGTTGATAGGAAAGACTTTGAAAAATGGTTTTCAAATTAATTTATTGCATCATTTAAATTAACCCAAGAACGTCGTATGCACAGGATTCTGCAATTTCGCAGAGGAAGCTGCAGATTCACACTCCAAGAGAATTTGAAGTCACGTTCACGATGTTGGGGATTATGGTTTGAGATTGGTTTTTGTAATGGATCATTCAATCATTCCATGAAGTTCTGAAAATTTATTAAAGCATGCTTCCCAGTATAGACTCGTTAGGCTGTTCCTGCCGAATGCGCATTCGGTGTAAGTCTCTTTTGGGACTTTCGCGATGGAGAATGCTTTGGCGATTTTCCTTTCGAGAAGAAAGGTGCCTCAAAGAGCCACACTTGAAAAAGGAAAAGGTAATATTAAGCCACCAGTAGAAAACATGGATTCTACTTTTCATCCGTTCACCTGGACGAGAAAGGCTGTATGTCTTCACGTATATCGTCTGAGAGTAAGTCGAACAGAATGATGATGCTCGCCTCCAAGCCTTTGAACCGACGAACCGAGTCCACAATGAGGACTTTCCTTTGAGGGGGATCTTCATCAGGCTGGTGAAATGACCCTTTATTCTCGTACTCCGCATTGTACATGGAATAAGACAATTTTCCATTTAGTGTCATATTCAACTGCTTGATAACTTGATCTCTGTGCGGAACGCTTTGTGTGAGGATGACAAACTCCTTATCACATCCTTCAGCTGCGCACTCATTGATGATGTCTAAAACATTCTCGGCACCCTGTCTCAAACGGTCGTGCTCTGGTTCAACTGGGAGGTAGGGCTCCTGCCACTTGACTGGATAACCATCGATTTTATGGCCCATGGTAACTTCGCTTCGAACATCCTCTTTCACATGAGCAAGGAAACATTCGCATATATGTCTGGGACTGCGAATGTTCGTTTTGAGCTTCTTCGACTGGGACAAGTAGTTCTTTTCTTTTGCCGTAAGATTTTGTCCACAATAAACCATCTGCTCTTCATCAAAGGTAAGGAAGAAGGTACCAGTTTCATCCCAAATCTTTTCCAGGTATTCTATCCAGGAGAAAAGCCGACGCGATCCTGATGTGTTGTATATGCAGAGATCGAGACCTTCGTCGACAAATATGTGGCGATAGGTGTCTTGGCATATCCCCTGCCTGGCTTCTATTTTAGCCTGCAGGTCTTCCTTTTTTCCGTCATCAGTCCAACTTCCCCCCGTCCATCCCATGAAAGCATCGAATGTTTGTACATTAATGTTTAGTTGATGAGTCCTCAGTACCATCTCATTCATTTTTTTTTCTGTGAGGTGCTTTATCTCGCACTCGAGGTACTTGATGAGAGCTCTGTTGAAACAGAGTACGAGCATCTTGCTCTCAGGATCATTTATGAGAATGTTGGAAGCGCTTTCAATCAAAAGCCACGTCTTCCCAGTCCCGGCCACACCTTTGAAGGTCATAATCCGTTTCCCTGATTCATATTTCACCCACTCCATGAGTGCCTTGAGATATGGTGGATTAAATCCGGGCTCCGGAATGTTCTCTATTTGGTTGACGGCTACAGGGTTTGCAAGGGCATTGGAAACCATTGGCACCAGCCAGCCCAAATTCCGTCGGTAGCCTTCTCTCCTCAGACACCAGCCTCCTAGGATTCTGAAACGACAACATTATATTCTATGTCCTATGCATGCAACTGCCTTCAACAGGAACAAAATATTGGAATGGTGACAGTGACATACATTGATAGAATATTGAGATAAGTTTCATCGCTCCATAAGTTTCTGCGCTGGAGCTCCATATTCTCATCCAATATATGAGTTCTCCACCATGTCTTGAAGGCATTAGGGCTCTCACAGTCATCTCGACTGAGAGTTCCCTCATCTCTCCTGTATTCAAGAGAGCCTCCCAACGAGTGAAAGGGAACACAGACATACCCGCTCTTACCGCGTATTATTTCATCGACTTCAGAGAATTTTTTTGCATAAAAGTCTCGAATCATCTTCTCCCAAGCGGACACTTGCTTCAGCCCTTTTTTTATATTTTCACTCAAATTGTTTGGCTTCCCATCTTTTACTTGAAGGATCTTCAAGCCTGCACGACGGTGTGCGATGATCATGTCGCACTCCCCATCGTTTTTTAGGCCCTTGATGTTAGCCACAACAAACATGGGTTGTTTTTCTGTCTCATTTCGAGCCAAATGGTCAATTTTCTTCATCACCTCCCACTCAGCTCTAGTTCCGTCTTGTTCTTCTCTGTCCCGAAAAATTTCCGGTAGGAGATAATATCCCTTTTCCCAATTAGGGAATTGATCTTTGACGAAATCCTTTCCTCTTTCGATAGCATTCTCTTCATTCTCACCTATGGTAAGTCTTCCCATTGGCTCGACTAGCTCGTAGAAGCCACTATCGTCAAGTCCCTGTTCCGACATGGTGATTGTTGTGGAAGCTGGTACCTATAAATTCAAATATCGCCAAGTTTATATTCATTATTATGAAGGATATATGGCGAGGTACAAAAAGGCATAAAATAATTGAAACAATAAATTACAAAATTCATGGTTCGATCAATTGAAAAGTGGTGACCATGGTAGTTTTGTTTTTAAAAGGTTAAATAAATACCTAGGTATATGTTTGTGCTTATTTTAACCTAATTTTGTGTGGTATTTCCAGATGTAAGAACGTGAAATCGAAAAAGTGCGGAAAAGAAAACAAGCTTAAATTAGGTTCCTTCCAATGTATCAAATCGGTCCAAGAAAGTTAACAGAGGAGTGATTTAGTTCCTCGCACGCCAGCTTGTGAAACCCATCGTTGAATGTTCATACAGGACTAAAATTAAAAAAAGAAGTGATGTGATAGAGTAGTGTAAGAAGTTCCATGCTGATGTGCTAAAGTGCTTTTGACTTGGATGTGCAGGGACCACTGCTAATGAAGTTCTGCGAACTTCAGTAGAGACTGTTAATACTGATCATTATTCACCATTGCTTAAGAGAGACCGATAGCAAGCATTGCGAGATGAGCGTCCAGGAAATCTGGCAAAAGAGCGTTGCTTTTCTGCACGACAGTGCAAAACCACATGAAGCCTATGTGACTAATAAGAACATCGCAGATATAGCTTGGGCGGTGTTGAGTCACCCACCTTACTACCGTACGATTACAGCATATTCGGTCCCTGACATTTTTCCTTAATGGTCGCCATTATCGAAGGGACGGTCTAATGAAAAAAACCTGTTCAGGAATGACTACAATGCCTTGCAATGAAATTACATGTTTCTTCTTTTTGGATAATAATACATGTATTAACTTTCAGACGTGTTCAGACCCAGACATCATCCTTAAGAATGGACAAATGTGCCTGTGTGAAGCTGCTTCTGTTTGACCGCTGACCACGAACTTTAAACTTAAGGTACTAAGGGAAGTAGAGTACCCCTAGGGAGGGCCTTTGAGCCACTTTCGGCACTCTCAGGTCAAGCACCTGACCGTGGCGAATGGTCAAAGGTCACGATTTGCTTGCCTCTCTTCAAAAATCTGTATCTCCCCTACCCTTGGTTGCAGAAACCTCAAATATACGTCATTCTCCTCGCCACAGAACAATTTAAATTATGAGCCAAAATATTTGCTCGTCTCTCTGCTCTCCGAGACGCTGTCGTGCCATATGTGAAAATTCGAGTTTCGCGAATTCGCTTCTTCCCTTGCTCATTCTCCGAAGAAACAATGCATCGTGAAAAGCATGCTCCAGTTTTTAGAAACCTTCCCCATTCGTCTTCGCGTCGGAGGGCGCGATGATTCAACGAACCGTTTTCCCTGGAAGTTCGATGATATACCTCAAAATCTCCCTATTTTTGCATAGTGCCTCACGCCCATGGTCACTTCTCGAGAATCCCCATTCGTCTTCGCGTCGGAGGGCGCGATGATTCAACGAACCGTTTTCCCTGGAAGTTCGATGATATACCTCAAAATCTCCCTATTTTTGCATAGTGCCTCACGCCCTACCAGTGAAGAGCTCTTGCTCTAACTCTAAGTTTTGAAGTTGTCTGCCTTAAAACCTCTTCGGAGAAGTCGACGAAGTCCAGTTAAAAGTCTGCTCAGACAAGTGCGGACAAGTGTTTACTACCTAGAGAATGTCATCCAGAGATGCCACTGCATGTCCCCGTTTCGGTGGTGTAGCGATAGCATATACTGTAATTTACCTATATATTACTTATGCACCTCGCTATGGTCGCGCCTTCGGCTCATCATTATCTAGAATAATGACTAATTCATTTGCAATATCTGTTTTGGCCAATCTGGTGAAACTTCTAAAAAACACATAAGAAAATTTTTGAAAATTCAAAATATAAAGAAACAGTTTCCCTTGTGTCTTGTCTTGTTCAGTCTTCAGGCCAAATTTATTGGGAAAACTTGACATGGAGTATCTGAATGAGATTGAATGAAAAAATAACTGAATCTAATCTAATTATAATTGAACGAAGCGAACTTCTTTTGACGCGACTTCGGTTTTCGTGGTGAATTGGCCGAGCATAATTGAAAATCCTACGACGAGACACACCATGTGACCCTTCATTATTTTGTGTTCAAGGAAGACTCACTTTGCTTCATCGTTGTTTGCGTACATCGGTTTCCTGTAGTCCCATTGGAGGCCTGGAGTTGAAAGGCTTTATCCTCCCCTCCTTCTATGGCCATCCCTACCAAATGAAT